CCCCACATAATGTCGTAAACTTGTCCATAATCCTTAAGAGAAGTAAATAGATGACAAGAATAAGGAAAAATTAGAGATTTAGTCCTGTAACTGGCACCTAACCAAATAGTCCGGTGATAGCGTTGATTTTACAAAACACCTGCAAAAAAACCTGACTTTTTGGTCTTTCCAAACCGATTGCTGACGTGGATATTATTTTTCATTTTTTTTCGTACACGTGGCAGCCCACTAACATATCAAACTCAGCAGCCAATCAAATTGACCGGCTTTTGCCGATGGAAGGACCAAAATTCAATTTTTTATTTTCATTTTTTAATTTATTTTTTGTGTGTAAAATACCACCTGACTGTTTCTCAATTCAGTGTCATTTACGGGGTTAAATCTCTGATTTTTCCACCACAAGAATAATAATGATGTTGTGAGGGGGAACTTACTGCCACGGGTCGTCACCAACCACCATCATGTCGTTATCACTGTCGGTATACAACACGCGCCATCCCTTCTCTGGGTCCCGCAAAAGCCCGTTCATGCCGAACAACTTCTCGAGATCAATCAACAATTCATCGTAACCTTGAAGCCTAGAGAGGTCAACCGATCTCCCCACTCGGCTGCCTTGTTTGTGAACCTAACGCGTATAATTCAGTCAACTCTCGATAACTCCAAAAGAAAATATCAAAATAAATGCTTTGATTACCCCAAAAAGAATGCATTTTTTTTTTTTTTTTTTTTTTTTTNGGGATTTTTACCTTTGTGCAGCTCCTCTTACTTGAAGAACAACCCTTCAAACCAACATCAGCTTCATTATTATCTTCAGTTAATGTGAACCCAAATAGTTTAAATCCCGGCACTTTCTCCTTATCATGTGCCTTCGGCTCATGGACATTAGCTTCCACACCACGTAAAACAGAAGCTGGATTCACCACATGATGCGAATTGGAAAAATGTTGTCCTGTTCCATAAATGCCCTTCTTGGGAACGGGTACTTTTCTAGAACCTTCTGAAGCTAGAGGATAGAAGCACGGATTGTGGCCCGAGTTAATTTTCCCTGCGAGGGATTTAAGCGAGCAAATTTCTTGACCTTGCAAGACCTTTGGAATCCGATTGGATTCCGGAAAGTCAAAGGTGACGTGGCTGAGGATTTCAGTCCCATTTGGTGACGGATTAAATGCCGCCAGCTGGCGATTCATCATCCGGTTGCCTCCGTACAGATTTGATACGGAGAATATATTTTCTTGACCTTGCAAGACCTTTGATGATCTCCAAGACTCTTGGAACTCCAAAAGTGCAATCATCTCACCTTCTCATTATTCAA